TCTTTTCGAGTTGTAATCTGAATTACACTGAACATATTTGGCTAACTCCATTTGTTCTAACTCTGTTTTCCACAATTCAAATTCTACCAGGAATAGAAAAATGTAGCTAATTGTATAATTAGGAACATGAATGATGAAAAAGATTTCATACCTTGAACCTGTTCAAACTGTAATTGTTTCTAATCAATTGATATATTATGGTAGAACACAATATGGTCACATTTAACTTTAACATTTAACAACAATCACATTTACCACATACTTTGAAGATCAGAGTTCCTGCAATGAAAAAAATGCAATAGCAATAATGCAAATATAATAATATGAAAACAAACTCAGCTGGTCAATTTATCCCATGATCAAAGAATATAGATTTGAATTTAATTTCTTCCGTTGTCATTTAATGTCATAGCGCTGACGAGCATAATCGTAACCAGTTTGAGTCTTCTTACTCAGTGATAAGTGAGTGTCATAACGTCTATTTCAAATATAAAAGAATTTATTATTTAAATTTGTATAATTACGAGTAAACAATTTCATGGTAATCATCTCATAAAGAGGGACATTGTTCTTCAAGCCAAGCCTTGAACATTGCATAGCCATCTCATTCAGCAGTAGTCGCTTACACACAATGCAATGTGCAAATTGCAATGTGTTCCTCCCCTGTTCTGTAACCAACTTCCATAATAAAGAGTTGCTTAAACAATTACGCAGATAAGATAAGTGTGTTTATGCATATATAAATATTACACACTGATCATATACAGATATACAAATATATACTATATTTATACTAGAGAAGATTTACATATTTTTTACAGAACTCGTTGTCATCTCTCAGACCCATTTCTAGTGTACTCAATTTTTCCACTTGTCAATCTGCTGATGCAACCATTTGAAGTAAAGATACTAATCCAAATTAAGACATTTATTAATTGACTTCATAATAATAATAAAATAGATATTAACAAGTCGAGTGGTGAGATCCACTATTGTGGATATCCATGATCCCTTTTCGTTGACATGGGCTCCTGAGGGTACATAAGGACCACCTTGGGAATCACTTGTTCTAGACGAACAAATATTAAGATGAAGCAGCTTTATTTACATTGTTGTAAAATTATAATTATGTTTGCATTTGATAAGTGTTAATTCTGAATTTAGTTCATGTTCATACCATGAATTATATTTTACTTACTACTGTATAATTTTTTTAATTCAGTGTTATTTACTAAACAGTATGAATTTTTGATTGTGAAAAGTTCTCAACTATGACTATCGGTCTGTTGAGGAGAAATTATTTTATGAAAACTTGGAATTTATTGGAATCTTTCTTGTAAGTTAAACAGCTTTTTCGAAATTGTCTAAATATTGTCCATTAAAGCATTAATGCAAGAATTAACACTGAATTGTTTTTTATCTGTATCTATTAAAACTAAGAGCCAATGGTTTTAATATTCTTTGGTGCTAGATATTTTAATCCTGATGATAATTTTATAATGAAGTTATCATTATTATAATTTATAATATGATCATATTCATGAACACTAAAAATATAGAATTTTTTTCTATTATATTTAATTGATGCTAAGTAAGAGTTAATGATTATGTTTTTTTTTTATTATTATTTTATTGGCTTTATAAACTGGTACATTAGCCATATACTAAATTACATAATATCTACACTATCTCTTAAAGTCTAGTCTTACATATATATCATTGTTTTATGTATATTGCATTTATAATTTTATATTATTAGATTTGATGTAAATATAAAGAGCTCCATATATCTTGTATCTGTCAGCACTGTTATAAAATTAATTGGAATGGACATTTTTTGTTTGATTATTTCCTCCCATAGTTTTTGATTATGTTGTCTCTCACTCATTTTCATACAACGTGAAAAAAATATTCAATTTAATGGTATATTTACCAAAACATCCTATAGTATACGATATATCCCTATCATACTGTCATGAATGCCTTTTTATTTGTTATAAATACCCTTTTATTCATTACTTATTACCCTTTATTCATGCCCTAATTTACTATTGTTGTTACATTCGCGGTATTTCTACAACCTTACCGTGACGTCGCGATCCTGTAAGAAACTGATTACTTTAAAACTACTAATGAAAAGGCGTTTGTTTGTTACTTAATTAACTAATCTATATTTACACAGAACGATTACTTATTCTAAAACATTTTTTATTCTAAACATGCAACTTATTCTAGACTTAACTTTAACCACGGCGCAACCAGTGTCCATCACATGTCCATATATCGGGACCGATTCACATCAATCACTTAACAATCACATTCGCGTATTTTCACTAAGTCTACTTTCTGTTTGGAGACAGTCTCCGAACGCTGTCCCCCCTGACGTTTTCTAAGCTCACATTAAATACATTTTATTAACACCTTCGTGCGTTGGACCGCACGTTTGCCGGCTCTGAAGCCATGCAGGCAACTCTCATCCCCGACAACGACTACATCAAGCCTACGACTACTTCTCGACTGTTTATGCATACAACCACCCTCAGCCTGCGGACACATTCCTCATCAGAGACATGGCGTTTTTATGCATATAGGGAGAGGGGTGGTTGTGTGTTATTTTATAACTGCGTGTGGGTGCTCCCCCACACATTCGTACCAATACATTTTCAGTATACAAACCTATTTTTAGTTCTGTACTAGAGTCAGCAGAGTTATTTGAGCCTAGGCATTTATGCAAAGGAAAAGCATATTTCCTACATCGGTAAAATTGACCGAATTATTAGATTTTTTGTTCCATGTTTCGTGGTTCCGTGGTGTTATGGGCCTCATTTAATTTTTTTGTTACTTTATTTACTGTGTTGCTTTTTTTTCATTTTTTTAATACTATTTTCCGTGCTCTTAATTAACTTCTCCTGACTTGCATTTCTTTTTCTTTTTCTAATATAACTTTTCTAGCTTTTCTCAGGATTAATTTTCTGTGTTACAGGGCATTTATTTATTAAATCCTTATTGTAAAGCGCCAACAAATTTTTAATTGTATCTATGAAATGTGACGGTTTCACATATTTATTACCATGGCAGATATTGTTCTTTAATGTATTGAAAAATAATTCGACAGCCGCATTTGAATACAAATGTTTTCTGTCATTATCTAGCATTAGTTCTGACCACAAAGGTATAACTGTAATATACCTGTCCATTACATAATTTAAGAAACCTGGAAAGCAAAAACGATTAAATCTTCCTTTAGGCATAATCTTTTCGGCTTCGCATTTAGTATGAAGGAAATCTTTATAAAAAGATCTCGACATTGTTCACGATCATTTATTTCTGAAACATCAGTATTAGTCAAGATTGTCTTGTTTGATACTGAGTCAAAATGCAGTACTCTATCTGCATTATTTTGCAAATACCCTTTTAATAGGGGAGGTAGGGGAGCATTGGGCACTTTTTTACATAAATGTTAATAAAACTGTTATTTTTTATCATAATCAAAATTTTATTCCTAATATAGGGAGCACACATTTTTGGTAGTAATTATTATTAAGAAAAGTTTCAATATTGTAATTAGTTTCAAAGTTACAAGAGATCTTCGAACACATGTCCAAAGTGCCCAAACCTCCCGGCGGTCGGGAGGTTTGGGCACCCATGTAGGGAGGTTTGGGCACTGTATTTAATATGCACGAAATTGCTTTACTATACTACTAGGCTTAAGTATTATATAACATTACTATAAAAAATTGTAATACAAACATCTTTTCTTATAAATTTTAGAAAAATTTAACAATGTGACTTAGAATCAGTACTGCACGATGTTAGACTTAAACTTATCTTATATTTGGTATGATCCATAGAGGCTTGTCAAATTTATATTTTAAGCAGCCACGTTTCATCCATGTCGTTGGTGTAGGCAATTTTGTCTTTATATCCTTCAGGAGGACACTGGCTACGTCCTCGATGTCAGGAAATATAAAAGTATTTCTTAACTTACTCACTCTCATAAATTTTACAGTTGCCATCGTCTGATTAACATCTTCGATTATTCCAACATAATGGTAGACAGTTTTTTTGGTGTCAAATTTCACTAATACAAAGTTATTGATCTGGAAATTTCTATCCAGAACGATCACATCGTCTTCATCAAAATCTTCCGATTCAACAACGGTTTCGTCAGAAACTGAAACATTTTCTATTTCATCATCGCTGCTAATTTTCCTGTTTTTCTCTAGTTTGGAAGTAAATTCATCAGCAAGTTTCGGAATTTTTTTCTGTCCTGTATTTTTGAAGCATTTTCTATTTTTGTTGAGCTCTTTGATCTTATTTTTTCTTTGTCTTTCTTCTTCTTCCATTTCTATAAGTTTTTTCTCGGGTGTGTCCGTCAATATTCTAGTTTTTCCCTTATTCCGTTTCATACCCTGCAATTTCCTGGGGCCGGCCTTCGGATACGGTCTTACTACATCAGGTGTTACATTGACAGTGCCACTAATTTGACTTGTACAGGGAGATTCCAGTTGAGATGGCCCAATGACTTCCACATTTGAACTTGTACGATCCTCTAGACTCTGATTTTCCCCTGTTGAAGGCTGTTCAGTGACAGGTTGGTCTGAAATAGATTGTTCTGAAGGAACATTACCCTCTTCCGACAAGCAGCGATCAGTTATAAAAGAACAAGCGAAATCTTCATCGGAGAAAATATTTGAATTCAATGGCCATATGCCAGATTTTTCAAATCCATTTTGAATATTCTGCAACTTGAATGCTAGTGGAATGGCTTTTGCTGCTAATTTTGGTATTTCATAAATTGTTACTGTTTTGGCCGAATTGCTTACCATCCAATCTGTTACAGCAGTGTTATAATAAGTTTTCAGTGGTCCATAGACAGTCAGGTCTAGAGGTTGCAGTTTATGGCTGCAGTGTGGTGGGATAGTCATTAAAACAATGCCTGATTGTTTGCAAAAATCGAAAACTGGTACTGAAATATGGCTCTCATGATTGTCCAGCAGCTAAAGAACTGGCGATGAAGGCGTTGGTTTTGCGTGTTTGGCGAAATGGTGAATATATTTTAAAAAATTTGGTGATGTCATCCACCCTGAAGGATGTGCTGCTCCATCTGAACCAACAGGGGCATCATTTAGCATATATGTTTTGAAATTAACCCGTGGGAATATGAAAAATGGTGGTATTGAGTTACCCAATGCATTAATACCGCAGCAAACCGTTACAAGCGTCCCTCTTTCAGCTGACGTTACTTGCCCAACTTGCTTAGTGCCTCTGAGAGCAATCACTTTCTGCGTTCGTTGCACCGTTGATAATCCAGTTTCGTCTATATTGTAAATAGACTCAGGGCCGAAGCGATGCCGTTCATACACAGTTTTAAGATTTAAACCTGATGATAATTTTATAATGAAGTTATCATTATTATAATTTATAATATGATCATATTCATGAACACTAAAAATGTAGAATTTTTTGCTATTATATTTAATTGATGCTAAGTAAGAGTCAATGATTATGTCATCTAACCACTCATTTCCATACAAAGTGAAAAAATTATCAATTTAATGGCATATTTACCAAAAAATCCTATAGTATACGATTTATCCCTATTATACATGAAGGGTTTCATATAGAAATGAAAATTCTTTGCTACATTATTGTTAGGGCACAAACCTATTTTTAGTTCTGTACTAGAGTCAGCAGAGTTGTTTGAGTCCAGGCAAAAATTGACCGGATTATTAGATTTTTTGTTTCATATTTCCTTTGCATCTCTACTGTCGTGGTGTTATGGTGCTCATTTAATTTTTCAGTTACTTTATTTACTGTGTTGCTTCTTTTCATTTTTTAATATTGTTTTCCATGCTTAACTTCTTCTGACTTGCATTTCTTCTTTTTTTCTAATATAACTTTCGTTGCTTTTCTCAGGATTAAGTTTCTATGTTACAGGGCGTTTATTTATTAAATCATTATTATAAAACGTCAACAAATTTTTAATTGTATTTATGAAATGTGACTGTTTCATATATTTATAACCATGGCAGATATTGTTCTTTAATTTATTGAAAAATAGTTCGACAGCAGCATTTGAATAGAAATGTTTTCTGTCATTATCTAGCATTAGACCTGACCACAAAGGTATAATTGGAATATACCTGTTCATTACATAATTTAAGAAACCTGGAAAGCAAAAACGATTAGTAAGTGTTTCTTTCGGCATAATCTTTTCGGCTTTGCATTTAATATGAAGGAAATTTTTATAAAATACACTATTTCGTAAAAGATCTTGACATTGTTCACGATCATTTGTTATTTCTGAAACATCAGTATCAGTCAAGATTGTCTTGTTTGATACTGAGTCATTATTTTCTAACAGATTTATTTCCTTGATCGCTAAATCTATTAGTACATTATGATATTTGCTACCTAAAATCCACACAATATGAGTGAATTTTTCGAGCATGGTTTAAATCTCTACATCTTTCACCTAAAAGAAAAATAATTGATCTTACAGATAACGATATTATTTCCTGATTACCTACCAGTATACAGTACTCTATCTGCATTATTTTGCAAATACCCTTTTAATACATCACATGCTTCATGACTTACTGCTACCGTAATCATCTTTAAAAGGCCACATAAAATTTGCTTTTTCGGTGGTATTGTCAATTCCCGTAACATCATAAGGATTCAATATTGTTGTCGGGGTGGAAGTCATTTTTCTTCTTTTCTTTATACTTTGCCTGACGCATGCAAACTTGTGAAGGTAAATTGTATACTTTACCGAAATTTTCATATGATTCAGGAAATTCTGCTATCATATCTTTGAACTGCTCGAGACGATATGCTGCTGGTTTTTGATGTTTAAGTTTTGTTTTTAAATCATCTCTATCTTTTTCTCTTAGTTGCCTACACCTAAGAATTGGATTAGTTTCTGTACCATGATTAAGTATACCTTCAGGTATGATTAAAATTTCTTTATTCATTTTTGATGAGGATCAAATTTAATGTGAGCATTAAATATCATGCAATTTCCAACATCCTTTTCCTCCTTTTGATTTCGATTCTTGGGACAATAAGCTTTAATATGAGCACATTTGAGTGAAAGAACTCTATCTTAATACTGCTTCTGATTCAATCTTCATTGAACGCACTGAATTTTTATCGTACTAATTACCTTAAATTAATAATATGATTAAATCTCAATTATTATTGAAAATTATCAAATACGCACCAATTGATACGTTACAGTGAATTTTCAAATTCTAACTGAGCAAGTGTTTGCGCTCGCGCCTCGCACGGCTATCGTGAAATCGCAAACGCACAGCACACGCTAACAAACAGCCACTACACTAGAGGTGGGTCGTTGACGGTTTTGCCGTCAACGAAACGAAACGGTTATCGGGGTTTCGTCAACTAGTTAAATAACTAGTTATTTTTCAACTATAGTTATTTTTAACGATTCAACGCTGGCAACGTTAAGAAACTGATAGTTGAAATAACTGT